CATGGCTATTATACTGGCAATACAGAGCTTATTTAAAGAACTAGTCTACAGAGAAAAAATAAAAGAGAACAAAACAAACAAAAACCTAAGCTCCAGAGCTCACAAATAAACAGATCTCATTTCAAAATAGCTAAGCAAATGAGAAACAGGACCAAATTAAACATAAGAAACAAATTATAATAACAGGAATTAATAAACATCTCATAATAAGATTGAATATAAATGATCTCAACTCTCTAATTAGAAGACATAGGTTGGCAAAGTGAATTATACAACAAAAACCAATTAATGTTGTTTGGAAGAGATTCAGGCAAAGACAGCAAAAGCTGAAAGTGAAAGGATGGAAATTGATGTACCATGGGAATGGAGCCACCCAAACAAGCAGGAGTACTACTCTTATATCTGAAACATTAGACTTCAAACCAAAATTAATGAGAAGAAACAAAGATCACTTCCTACTGGTAAAGGGAATAATCCAACAAGAAGAAATGACAATAATAAATGTTTATGTCCCAAACGTGGGTGCAACTAATTACATAAAAGAGATGCTATTCAAGTGGAAGCCTTACATAGATCCCAGTATAAAAATACTGAGTGATCTCAACACACCTCTCACCATTAGATAGGTCAAACAAGCATAAACTTATTAAGTCACTTTGGAAAGAGAAAATATTATAAATCAAAGGAATTTAAGATGCATCTATAGAATATTTCATCCAACAATAGCTAAATATAGTTCCTTCTTAGAGGCTCATGGAATCTTCTTCCAAATACACCATATATTAGTAAACACAATTGATGTAATTCTTTGCATCTTATCAGATCGTAATGGAATAAAGTTAGAAATCAACATAACAAAACCTACAGAAACTATATAAACATGGAGATTGAACAATAACTTTTGAAAGATGAATGGGTGATAGAAAAAAACGTGAAAAATCTTAAAAATCTTAGACTCAAGAGAATAGTTATACAACATGCTAGAACCTCTGCAACACTATGAAGGTGGTTCCAAGAGGAATGTTTATAGCTAGAAGAGCCTACACGAGAAAATCAGAAAGATCTCAAATAAACAACCTAATGATACATCTCAAGGCTCTTGAAAAAGAACAAACCAATTCCCAAACCAGTAGAAGGAAGGAGATAATAAAGATTGGTGCTGAAATCAATGAAATTGAGAATAAAAAACACAAAGATCAGTGAAACAAGAGTTGGTTCTTTGAAAAGATCAATGTGATTGATAACCCGTTAGCCAGACTAATAAAAAAAAGAGAGAGGGATAGAAACCCCAAATTAACAAAATTAGAAATCATTAGGGACTATTTTCAAAAAATTGGAAAACCTAAAAGAAATAAATACATTTCTAGACACATATTATCTGCCAAATTCAAATTGAATTAGAAAAAAATTATATCCCATGCTTTCATATGTCAAAATAAATTCTATACTCATGTATAACTAAAAAGAACCAATATATAGAAAGAAGACAATACAAAACCTAGACAGATCAATAACATGAGATAGAAGCAGTAATAAATAGCCTTCTAACAAAGAAAATTCAAGGATCAGATGGATTCTAACCTAGATTCTATCAGATTTTTCAAGAACTAATGACAATGCTCCTCAAATTAGTCCATGATATAGAAATGTAAGGAACATTTGAAATTCATTCTGTGAAGTCAGTATCACACTCATACCAAAACCAGATGAGCACACATCAAGGAAAAAAGCTATAGACAAGTATTCCTAATTAACTTACATGCAAAAATTCTTAATAAAATAAAATGTTAAGAAATAATGCTCAACAATATATTAAGAAGATTTTACATCACAAGTAAGTTGGTTTTATCCCAGAGATGCAAGGATAGTTCAATAGACATATATCAATAAATGTAGTTCATCACATAAATAGAATAAGGACAGAAATCACTTATTCATCACAATAGATGCAAAGAAGGCCTTAGACAAAATTCACTGCCCATTCAGGACAAAAAATACTTAATACACTAGAGATAGAAGGAAACTACCTCACCATCATAAAGGGTATATAAGACAATACCAAAGCAAATCTCATAGTAAATGGGGGAAAACTGAATGCGTTTTCTTTGAAATCTGAAGCAAGTAAAGGATGTGCACTCTCACCATTCCTATTTGTTTTAGTGCTAGAAATTCTAGCCAGAGAAATTAGGCAAGAGAAGGGAACAAAAATGGATAGAAATTGGAAAGAGAGAACTCAAATTATCACAATTTGCAAATGATATGACCCTATTCATAGAAGATCCATAATCCTCCACTGAATTTAGCAAAGTGACAGGTTACAAAATCAAGATTAAAAAATCAATAGAGTTCTAATATACTAACAATGAATCTGCTGAGAAAGTAATCAGGAAAATAATTTCATCCAAAAAACATAAAATACCTAAGAATAAAAACTAAACAAGAAAGGGAAAGACCTCTACAATGAAAACTATAGAACTTTGAAGAAAATTGTACATAATGAGGGGATTTGTTGTTACATGTTCATACATGCACACTAATAACAATATAATTCGGCCCATATCACTCCCTAGCAATTATCCCTGGATCTTTTTAATTAAGAGCTTCCTATAAATTAAGCATATTATTTTATTGCCTAGGATAGATTGCAAGTGTTTCTTTCTACTTGCCATTTATCTTTTGCTTTATAATTTTTAGGGGGTGATATAAAATTTCTTATGTATATAATCCAATTTGTTAAACTGGATTTCTGTGTGGAAACAGAAAAGAGAGTCCTTTATTCTTATTACAAATATCTTTTCATATTCTTACTCTTTTCATGGTATCTTTTCATAGGTAATTTTTAATTTTAGTATATTAAGACTGGACAATGTTTTCCCTTTTGATTAATGCTTTTTGAACTCAGAAAGCATACTCTATCTTGATATTTTTCTATGCTACTGTCACCAATCTAAGAATCTTTTCTCACTGTGTTACATTGGCATGTGAGGAGCTGGATGAATTTGTAAAGTGTTTTTGGCTGGTCCATGAGATACAAGTATAGAAATTTAGGAAATGTGTAGAGATGTTAATAGGGATGTTTCCTTACCATGGCATGCAGGACAGTGAGGGGTGACCTAGGCTCCCTGATGGGTTTCAAACTCAAGTGGAGAATCGAAGGTGACCCAGCTGTGTACCATCATGTGCATTAGGACCAGGCCTGGATCCTAGAAACTTTAGGTATTTTAAAGAAAATGACATTAGCACAGATAGTATGAGATGCACACTTTAATAAGCTCTACTTTTTTCCTTTTTACATTAGTTCATGATATCCCTGGATACTAATTTATTTTTTTGTGGATAGTGTAATGTGAGGGTCCGATTTTGTTTTGTTTTCACACATGGTTATCCTATTTTCCCATAATATTTATGCAATTTACTGTCTTTTCCTCATGGCTCCCTGTGTCATGGAGCAACTGTGTTTGCAGGGCCTCTTCCGCTCCCTCGATTCTGTTTCATTGGTCTTTGGTTTTTCATTGCACCAGTGCCACACTGTTATGATTCTAGCTTTAAGGTAATTCTTGATGTGTGGAAAAGTAAGTTCTTTTATTCTTTTTCTGGAGTATCTTCATTATTTTTAGCCCTTTACATTTATGTTTAGAAATTTTAGAATCATAATATCAAATCATATATAACATAATGCACAATACAATCTTTTAAGACTTTGATTTTTATAAGAATTTTATTTAATCTATAGAGCTATTTATTCATTCAGTTTGATGTGGGGTTGTGTTCTTACATATTTCTGTTGCATTTAATCCAAACCACTGGGTTACCCAGGCATTTATTTTTGATAGTTTAGAGAGCTGCACTTTCAAGTTTTGTGCATATTTGTAAAAATAAAATGTGTTACAAAAATACAATAGTAGAGCTATAGAAGATACAATATCTAGGATTAAATACAATGAAAGATATGCACAGTATGTACACAGATTCCATATGTTATCTAATATCTATTTCTACTGTTAGAGAAGGTGTTATGTTTTGTATATTGAGATTGTGGTGCCCGCCTTCTAAATACTTCTACCTAGGCTCTCTGTTTTTCCTAAGGGAATGATGAAATAGGAGCAGTTAGTCTGTTCCTTTCTGATGTGTACTGCAGTTCACAGTTAGATAGTGAGAGGTTTTCAGCTCTGCTATCTAACTTGGTAAGGAATGTTTGTTTTGCTTCACTCAGGAAGTGATATTGCTTGTAGTTTTCTGGTAGATAATTTTTCTCAACTTTGGGAATTTTCTTTTTTTTCTTTTTCGAGTTTGTACTAGTTTTTCCCTCAACCTTGGAGGAATTTTTTTTTTTTATCAATTCTGCCAAATTTTATTTTAAATAAGGCATCATCAAGGTAGGCCTAAGGCCAAATATGTCCACCGTATTTTGGGGGGTCTGTAATCTAAAAATGCTTTTTGTATGTTTCAATAGTTGGAGGGGGAATCAAAAGAAAAATACTATTTCCTGACATATGTCAATTATATGAAATATAAGTTCCCTTGTCCATTCATAAAGTTTTATTGAGACATAACACACTCATTTTACACATTGTCCATGCTGCTTTTGCACTTCAGTGCAGAGTGGACAGTTGTGATGGAGGCAGGATAGCCTTCAGATTTCAAAATATGTACTCTCTATACTTTTACAGAGAAAGTTAGGTGACAATTTTAGAACATCATGATTTATCCCCTTTTACCTTTCTGTTCAGCCATGAGTAACTGAAATCATACTCAACCATGCCTAAAATATATAAACATTTATTATTACACACATACAAGCTCCAGGCATGATATGGTCATTCTTCACATCTCACACTCTGGGATTTGCATCCCATCTCCATTCTCACTGTCTGTAAGTGTCCCACAAATAATATGGACATTCTTTTAAATTTAATTTTCTTAATACTTAAATAAGAGTTTGTGGACAATACACAAGAGATATGTAAATTGGTCCAAAGTGATTTTGTATATATATGCTTTTAGCAAATGTAGTTTAAGAACATGTTAATCTGATTTCCAATCACAACATCAGGTGGGTGGACATTATTGGTGCCATATGCAATGGTCATGTCCCAGGCATCAATGACACCCACATTAAGATCTTTGAAAATGTCATTCAGGGTAAGATACTGAATGTAACCATGGAAGTCTCCAAACCTCTCTGTTTCTAAGTGCATCTCCCTGATATTTTCTGTCTTAATGATCACTTTAGTGTCTGGACTTCTTAGGAATAGTCGTTCAATAGCTTTTTGAACACTGATGGCTCTGCGAATGAAAACGTCAATGGGGAAAGGTCTGAAATGCTGGCCAAAGGTAATGACAATGGCTGTGTTTTTATCCCCTGATAGCCGGTCAATTTCCCGAGGGATGTAACCTTCATCTGTCACGGAATAGATACTATAAGTGACAAAAGGATAGCCATGTTTTTTCCATTGAATTTGAGTATGTCTTTCAGCATCCAGAAGCAAATGTTTCTTGAAAATTCCAGTCTCATGTAGATCAAAAAATTTCAGTGCTGATTAAACAAACAGATATTTTAACTAAAAAGTGATATTAGTGATTTTTAATATTCACAATATCATTTACAACACCTACCAGAACTATTTTTGTTGGGAGCATTGTAACTTCTAGAATAAATTACCAATTTACACTTGTGAAATATTAATAAAAGTATAGAATTTTCATTGGAGTTTATAAAGAGGAACAACATTTCTTATGAAAAATAGATTTCAAATTAAGACTCAACTCTAGAAAGCTAAATGAAATAATAAAAAACCCCAGCCCAAGTGAGATTTGAGACCTCACTAAATGTACTTTATGATTAGCCTGAATTTCCAAAAGAATATAAAGTAAACACATACTTTTTACTACTTTGGGTAAGTAGTAGATCCACTGACGCAGCGTGGAGTCTCCCAGGAGGTAAATGAGTTTTCCTTTCAAGCAGCCATTGATCTTATTTGTATCTAGTTGAATCTGGTCGCAAAATGTTGTCATCCACCTTCCTTGTAAAGTGTATCCACCAGGGACGGGAATCTTCATTCCAGTTTGGCATTTCTCTGTGCTCTTTTCACTCTCTGGGAGCAGAGATCCTGTGGTGTTAGTGGCATGTGTTAAACATCAGTCTCCTTTCTTGGGCCTTCCCTTTCCTGATCTCTTTCTCTTTTCCTCCTATGTCTTCTGTCTCTTACTAGGGGTATTATTTTGCTCACCAGCTTGTTTTAGGCACTGCTACTTATTCTTCTGAGAGATTTTGAGTCATGCTGACTCCTCCCTGTTCATTTTCTCCCACCTGTGGTCATTAGCTAAGTCTCCATGTCCTTTTCATTCTTTGCCATTCCTCTGATTTTGTAGTGACTTAATTCTGTTTTCTAATCTGAATGGTGTTACTTAATTACCTGTTGGTGTCTTTGTTACTGAATTATTTTTATTTTTTCCACCAATGAAGGAAGTGTAAATTTTCCAGGGTTTAAAAAACAGCTTAAAAGATAATATGTACATATTTTGAAAACCTTCAACACTATGAAATACCTACCTTGACTTAATGTTTTTGTTTTTTTTAAATAGAACCTTGCTAAAGGTGATTTGCAGTATTCCACAGAAACCAATATTCTGAGCCATTGCAGCCTGTTTTCCTAGAATGGCAGGCTCTCTAATGGTCTGTCTTCTAAGGTACCCCATGTGACAGAGCACCAACTCTGCCATGCTATAACAAACGTCCTCAGATGTCTGACATCATGCTTCCTTGCCAAGCTCTATGCTGCTGCACCACTGCTGAGCCATTGCCTCATATCTTAGTTTTATTTGTTCTTTTTGTTGTTTTGATTTTTTGTAGTTTGAGGAATGGGACCCTGAGCCTTTGCATGCTAGGTTAGCACTCTACTGAGCTTCATTTTATTGACAGTTCAGCTAGTAGGATGGAGACAAATGTATGAGGAGGGCAAGTTGTTTTGCCATTAAAGGTGTTACAAATTTCCCATACCATTCCTGTTTATACTCCTAGAAAAAAATGTAATGTGACCATAAATATCCACAAGGAAAGGTGGCCAGGGGTTCAGCTAAACTAATGGTTTATCTTCTAAAGAGGAAGAGGGAATTGATAATGGAGGATTACTAGCAGTCTGTGCTTTACCTTCCTTAATTAGCTTCTCATAGGCCTTGCAGTCTGATTGCCTGTGTCTACAAAATAGTATTTTCTTACATGTCAGTACTGTAAAGTTGGCTCTCTGTATCCATGAGATCTGTACCTATGGATTCAATCCACCATGGATGGAAAATATTTAGGAAATTTTTTAATCTTATTTTATTTATACAGATTTTTTCTTTCAATTATTCCCTAATAAAATAGCATATCATCTATTTACAAAGCAATTATGATGAATTATGTAGTGCAAGTATTCTGGAGATTATATAAAGTATATGGGAGGATGTGAGGATGTTGTACTTTATATCAAATGCCATGTCTATATATATATATGTGTGTGTGTGTGTGTGTGTGTGTGTGACCAAAATTGACACCAAGATTATATATATAAATTAATATATATTTGCCCTGCAGGACCCACCAGGGACATCAAAATTGACACCAAGATGCTTGGTGTCAATTTTGATGTCCCTGGTGGGTCCTGCAGGGCAAACCCCCATGAATATCAAGGGACAAGTGTATTTGTAATTTGAGGACAAAGTGGCAAATGGTGCTGGTGGCAGAATTAGAAAATGCACCTGGAAAAGTTCTCAAATCCTGATGATTTTTTTGCCAAACGGAGTTTTCCTAATCCTATAATCATGTTGGAAATTTACTGTGACATGGTTGGTATTCTAGGAGGCTTGATAACCCAACATTCTGGATGCTTGAATGCCATAATCCTAGAAACTCAACATCCCCAATTACCAAGTATTCCCCATCCCGGTAATGTATGGGCATATCCACAAAGATAGCTTTTGAGCTTATTATTGAAAAGTATAACTTGTATAATATTTATAGATCAGATAATTTATTTCCTCATGATTATTATTACATAATTTAATTTTAGTATAAACTCAATATTTTGAGCAATATGTGGTTAATATTGCTCATCTTTTTGATTAGAGATTGAAGCAGGCAGACTGTGCCTCCCCCAATATATTCGGGTCCTAATTACTCAAAACTGTGAATATGTTGCCTTCTATTGCAGACAGAATTTCCCCAGATTGACTAAGTGTATAGACTTTGAGATGGGGACAATCTTGGATGATCTGGAGGAAGGGGTCCAGTCTAAGTTCATTGATTCTCAAAATTGAAATAGGGAAGGCAGAAGGTAGACCAGAAACTTGTAACCTGAGTATTTGACCCACCATTGTGGCCTTGATAAGGAAGATGGTGTTACAAAGAAGGAAGGCCTGTAGAAGCAAAAAAGGCAACAAAACATATTCTTCTCTACAGAAAAGTATACAGGTTTGCTCTACCTTGACGAGCTCGGTGAGACTGATATTGGGCATTGGAAGAGTAGCACTAAGAGAATATGTTCGTTTTATTGAAAGCCACTTTGTTATAGCAACAAGAAGAAACTAATGGAGAGAAAATTGACATCTTTCAATATGAAGTCATCCCATTCAGAAGCAGCATACTTTCTTCAACATATATATTTTATGTCCCTTAGTACCATTTTAGATTCTCTTTGTGAAGTTCATACTCTTTTTGTTCACTTATGAATTTGCTTTTTAAAGCACAAAGGGGAGCATACTACTCTTTCCTCAGTGGATCTCTGGAGTTTTCAAAAGTCTACCAAATAAACACTGAAATGTACAGCATGCCCTTGAGAACTTCCATGATTTAGATTCTTCCTATTTTCTAGATTCATCACCCCATGTGTTTACCACACTGGCCTATTGAATAGGGTCCAGAGAATTTTGTTCATGAAAGGAGATATCAGATAAAACAAAAAACAAAACTACAACAACAACAAAAAATTACCATGTTAAAGAATCCAGGTGAGAGAATTAAATAAATTCTAGCAAGGAAGGCTTTTTTAGTGTATGTCTCATTCAACATTTTCTTTATCTCAAAGTATAAATACATAGGTGACTATAAATTACTAAAAATTAGCTAATTTCTTATATTATTTACTTAAATCTGACAACTCTATCGTTGATTTTTATGTGGTTTCTCTTTCAGCTCATTCTCTGACTACAGATATTCTTCAGGACTTACTCAAATATTAATGTTAACATAACTCCTGCATTTTGCTTTCTTCACAGAGTTGGTAGATTAAATTTTCTTCAATCACAAACTTACTAAGTATTATTTTTTTCTCAATTGATTCAAAATGCCTCAACGTATTAGACCCTAAGTAAATAATTGCTGAAGAAGTGAACAAATATTAGAAATAAATCACGAGTTGTTAAGTTTACCACTAACAGGCTTTATACACAATTATTTAAAGCTAAGGTATAAATAAGCATAAATATTATTCTTTCATGTGTAACACTGATTTATATTTGCCAATGAATCAATTAATAAGATGGAAGCTTCATATGAAATTGCTAAGTGCATCAACTAAGAGCTGGAGGTTATGCCAACAGAGATGAGGAAACCAAAGCCAGAGTGTTCCTGATCTGAAGCCATGGGTACCCATCACAGACATCTGTACAGCACCTCAGACTACGAGTTGAATGTAGGATACTAATATTTTCTCCCATAAGTCAAGAAGAAATCAGCTATAAACAAACTTTGAACTAATTTCCTTGAATGATTTCTTCTATGAAGTCCAAAAAGACTGAGATCACACATACCTGCTAGGAATTAACTATGTTGCTGGAAATCTACAACTAATAGAGTTAACACTGATAACTTTTCTCTGCATAAGACACATGACACATACACTTACCACAGAAAAAAAGCAGACTTACTGTTGCAATGGGAGACACCAATATTTTTAAGGTTTTTCATCATTTCAACTCCAACTTTGGACCTTCAAAAAATAAGACCATAGATTAGCCTATTGTGTGTCCACATAGCACAGGCCACATGAATCACTTCCTTGTAAGTGAAGGATAATTTTCAATTTTTAATAACTGAAAACTGTTACTTTTGTTATAAATTTTGTATATATTTAGTATTATAAATGAATTAGGATTTTGGAAGGCTTTCTATTCTATAGAGAGTACCTGAAGTCCAGGGCAGCATTTCCCATCTGCCACATGCAATAGTGTGTCCTAGAATTTTAGATTTATAAAATGTGTCAAATCTTCAAGTTCCTCATCCTCTTCCATATCACCTATTTAAGTTTATATAATATTTTTCTTGAATTATTGTGAGCCTCTAGTTGGCCAGCCTCAGTTTTATCCCACCTAATTTCTTCAACATGCCCTCCACAGCACCCTTTCCAATTGCAAATGCAACCACATTATGGTTTAAAGCCCTTGATTGTCTTCTTGTCACTTACCTAAGGAGTCCAGGCTCCTTGACATGGCACCTAGACTCCTCATGATAGAGCTCCTGTTCCTCTCCTTAGGCATGTTTTCTGCTGTTTACTTTCATTTTTTCTGGTGTATGTGCTTTCTGAAGAAAGGTAATGTATTCGTATGTATGCAGTATTATACCCTAAATAATGTGACTAGCAGAAAGTAATGTTCAACCTGAAGCATGAATAAATGTACACTCTATTTGTACACTACATTTCTTTTCTCCACTTAATGAAAGACTACCAGAATCTTTCTTCCTTAAACCCCACTGTTAATCTCCTGTGTATGTGTGTGTATAAATGGAGGCAAGCAGGAAGGGGCCAAGGGAAGGATGAAAACTCAGGTGCCTAGTACAACATATATACAATGATATAAATAGTACTCTGTTCTATGTTAGGGATGTCTCTTTAGAGACATGAAAGGATAAGTAGTCTTTAGTGGGATTTAGGCATAAAGATGGTTAGTGGGGAGAAAAATATTTGGCGAGTTACATCACTGGACACAAAAAGGAAGGAAAAAAAACCCAACTGCGCTTTTTATTTGTAAGAAGTCATGCATTATAGATCAGGATATATGCATAAGCAACCAGAAAACTGTGTAAGCACCTGGAATATGTTATTTTCCATGTTCAATGTTTATTCTTATTTCTTCTAAGCAAATATTTTTTAAAACTTCTGTAAAAAAATTCTAAGCCTGACTTTGAAAAGTGCAAAGAGTGTAATTGCTCAGAATCTAGCATTTCACTGTTGCCAAATGTAGGGAAAATAAGTCTCCATGGGTAGGAGAATAGATTTTGGTAGAATGAAAAGTGGACTGAGGCTTATGGAAAATTAGCATGAATAATAAAGATATTTAAGAGGCACAATCTATGGAATACAGTATGGGAGGTGAAGTAGCATGAAATTATCATACATTTATAAGGAAACTGTTTTTTTGAATGGAACATCTATGAACACATAGCAAAATAGTTTTTCATAGAGTGTATTTTGTAAGATGTGTGTCTATAGTAACAATCCTGATTGATACAGTGATGTATAGGCATATATATTATTGAATTCTCCCTGTGTAACTATCATTCTGTAACTATATCAATCAAAATGCAAACTATGGTGTATAGTCATGAACACGGGGTGCTATGAAAATATCATATCACATATCTGACCATAAACTTGAGGGGAGGAATCATCTGAGAGGATCAATATTGAGACGGGCAATGAAGCTCTGCTTGAGGGCACCTCTCATTGTATTGAAAAGTATACTCACTTATGGAAAAGGCTTTTTTCCTTGACAGAAAGATAAGAAATTTCTCGGTTCATGGTGGTCATATGGGTCAAAGCCTCACAGGGCATGTGGTGAGGCTTCATGCAGTAGAAGGCTTCCTGGTCTCTCCCATACAGGTAGGTACATAGTTCACTGCTAGAGTTTAGGGTCAGGCCACATTCAGTGAAGACTTGGGAGGTGCCATTAACAAATTTACCTTTGAAAATAATTTTATCATAGCCTTGGTTCCTTGCCCTCCAGAGAGCCGACACCCCTTCACTGGGGTGGATGAGCAGGAGAGACAGGGAGACTTGGCCCTCCCAGAACAGAGTGAAGCTGACAAGGTAGGTGCCATTGTTGAAGTCAGTCACCTTTCCTGAGGCGCCTGCCTTCAAGGCTGGGGAGGACATCCTGGCCCTCAAAAAGTCCCCTCCATATTCCTTTCTGTGTCCCAAGTGGTCCCTGGCTTCCAGCAGGATGTCCAACTGGTCCCCCCTGCAGTATGTGTCTCTAGGGTTGAGGATGGTGACTGTGCTGTGTGTGGCACTGGTGGTGCTGTTCACATGGGTGAAAGGTCTGGGCGGGATCATCTGGTTTAGTGTTTTTAGAATCTTCCTTATTCTCAGCTCAGTTTCTGTTGGTGTCTTTACAGGGCTCATCTTTAGTTCAGAACACAAAGAGTTTGTGGAGATATTCCAGGGACTTAAGCTGATGGGTACATATATAGCAGACCAAAGCTGAAATGATAACAAACAAGACATACTATTCATTAAATGTGTTCCCAGTAATTTTTACTTATAGCAAATTTGAGCTCACCTATTATCATCCATATTATTTAAACTTTCTGATAATTCTGCATAAAATAAAGCCATTTACACTTTAGGTCTATATTTTGGAGAATGTCTTAGCAATAATAAATAAACATACTCAATCTTAGATTTATATCTCAAGTAATACATATGACTAAGAAGATGATGCTGGTTCACTTGTTCTTCCTTTTCAGATACACCCTGCTCCCAATAGCTCATTTCTTGGTTCCTCCTCAGCATAGTTTTACCCATGTTTAACCATCTTTTCCTCCCCAGCTTATCATGGTTCCAGCTGCCACCATTTTTCTCCTGGATTGTAGTTTCCTCCTCTAGTGGGAAGTGGTTCTCAGGCTTCATGAGGACAGTCCTGCTTTCTCTCCCTTTAGTTTTCCCCCTGTAGTTTATCAGCCCTTTGAAAGCAAAACTCAACTCACATCTGCTTCCTTCTTAAACCCTTTTGATGTCTTCTCATGATTCTTGGGATAAAATCCAATTTTAATAGGACTTTATGCTCTGGCCTGTCTTTTCTGCCTAGTTCTGCACTTCCTCCTGTGAACTCTATTTTGACAACACTAACTGCTCTTGTTTTTTGGTGATGACTTTCCTTTCTTGTATGTCTTGCACTTACTAAAACTTTCTCTTCTCTCTACATTGTTGAATACCTCCTTCTTTTCTCCAAACCACATAAACATCTGTTAACTTCTCATTTAGGAATCCCAACAACCTTAGTTGTCACTGGACAGTGTTCTATAGGTGCTCAAATTCAGTAGTTTCTGAATCTTATTGATAATCAGAAGCAAATGCCAAGCTTTTCTCAAAATACGGATTTTCAGGCTGCAGTCCAGGTCAACTGAACCATAGGTACTAAATGTATAATCCTGGAGGATGTGGTTTTCAAACACTTCACAGACATCTCGTGTTCATATAAGGTTGAAAACACTAGTTATAGATCAGTGTTTGTCAACTACCTCACATGTAAGAACATATGTAGAGCTTAAATCTCAGCAGTACAAAAAATCCTTTACTGACTGCTCTGTCAGTAAAACCTTGGTGATTGGTAACACAGTGGCATAGTAAACCAAAAGAGACTGGAAACCAAGAAATGATATGTAATTAAAATAAAGATGAAGGGAATCTAAGTTCAATCTTTGAGAAAACTTAGCGAATTGAGAAACCTTTGGCTAAACCAAGCAAGAAATAGAGACACAAATATATAAAATCTAAGCAAGAATACTTTCGTGTATATTTGTATTTTATAAAAGCATAAAATGAGACCTTAGTATACACATTACAAGATAGAGAAGTGGAATAGAAAGTAGCTATACAATCTATAAAATACAAATAATATAACCTGATGAAAACATTTTTTCCATTTTGTCTACCTCCTAAAATTACAGGCTGAGGCATTTTTATTTGTGAGTACAAATATTATTAACTTGTGTAATGAGGAAACACTTTATGCTAAAACTTTATAGATGCAATATAGAAAAACTGAAAGTTTACACTCATGAATATGACCTTTAAATTCTCTCTCCACAGATGCATACATTTATATAAATATATGTAAAAACATACATACTTTAAAGAGTTGTGTGTATGTTTGTTTGTGTATTTTTCATGATTGCTTCTGGATTCATTCAGAATTGTAAAGATGGGCCCAGGAGAAAAATCTTTCAGTATAGTTTATATCTTAATGGATTAAAGACAAATCTTGTGATTTTTTTCATTGTTTTCAAACATATTTGATGGGAAATGCACTGTTAAAAAATTATTAAATATACTTTAAAATTTATTTAACACAAATGTTTAATAAGTACAGATAAAAAATTTCAAAGTCAGGAAGAAGACAAGAATGTTGGCCACCATCACCTGAATTAATGTTCAACATGTTAGAGGTCCAGAGCAATAGAATCCAATCAATCAACCAACCAACCAACCAACAAAAACAAAACCTTGAGTTTTGAGAATTGTAATTGAAGAGGCTTACTGATGACTTTTAAAATCATTTCTTTATTTTGTTTTCTGTAGATGTGATTGTACACAAAGAAAACTTGAGCCTGAAAATTACTGGAAATAAGATATCAGCTAGGAGCTGAAAGCAAAATAAATTTATTGTACCATTAGTACTTATTTATACAAAACAATTATTAGAAAATGAAATAGAAGAAAAGTTCTGATTTGATGGAGGCATTTTAAAACTCTTAAGAATATTTAAAAATACCTGAATGAATATAAAGCTGTTCAACTCTGAAATGTAAGACTGATTAATGTAAAACTGATATTTCAGGGCTGAGGATGTGGCTCAAGTGGTAGCGCGCTCGCCTAGCATGTGTGAGGCACTGGGTTTGATTTTCGACACCACGTAAAAATAAAATAAACATATTGTGTCCACCTAAAACTGAAAAATAAGTATTAAAAAAACAAAAAGCCCCTGATATTTCTTCTTAAATACAATTTTGAAACTCTTTCAAATTTTTAGGAGGATTCTTTTTAGTGGGAGAGATGGAAGCTGATTACTTAACTCTAAAACTTTTTGTGAAATAGTAGTCTGAAAGTAGAAACTATTTAAAAAATACTAACCCTAGCATAAATTATACTAACAAATTGTGTCATATCCATATAATATCAAATAAAACAATTAAATAGGATAGGTTCCCCTAGAAACAGATCTGCTTATATATGGCGGTGTAGTATGTTAGTGGTGAAATCAGGAATCATAAAATTATATTTAGTAATTTGTACCAGGATAATTGTTTACTATATTGAAAAAACAATCTGGAAATTTCTATCCCATGCTGCATACTAAAGGTCTAAATGAATAAAAGATCAAAATAGGGATATCATAGATAAAAAATGCATTACAAAGAAATTTAGCTTCTCTCTGACTTAAAATTAGTAAGTATTTCATAAATAAGACTGCTAGTCGCAGCAGGGCATGAGGGTACATGCTGTAATCATAGTGGCTCAGGAGCCTGAGGTAGGAGATCTCGAGTTCAAAGCCAGCCTCAGCAGGAACAAGGCACTAAGCACCTCAGTGATACCCTGTCTCTAAATAAAGTACAAAATAGGGCTGGGGATTTGGCTCAGTGTTCTGGTACTCTACTCCCCCCCCCCCCGCAAAAAACAAAATATCCTGCAAAGTGCAAAATATAAGAAAATGCATTTATCTCAATTCAATTACTTCAAAATGAAAATTTTGATAAAGGACATTATGAAAAAATCTATCAGAAAAAAATGAGTTAAAATATATGTATCATCTAAACACAGAAATTATTACCCAGAATATAAAAGTTATTACTAAACAGAATAAAATATATATCAGTGAACCTAATAGAAAAATCAACAAAGTGTATATATTGAAAACATATACGAAAATGTCTATTATATTATTAGGTATATTGGAAAAACAATGGATACAGTTCATTTACAAGCTAAATTTTGTATATTTATACAGTGGAATATATGATCTCTAATGAACTATACATCATGAATTAGATTTACATAGAGCAATATGGTTGGATTTCAGAAGGAAATTTGAATGAGAACTATATAAATTAAACACCACACCACACACTATCCTATCACTATGTATCTTTCAAAGCCACACATACACCTATATATATGTATTCAGTAAAAACTGGAATACTCTGAGGAATAAACAGTGTGAAATATGTACCTGTGGGAAAGGAGATTAAGAGTATGAGTGGGGAGCAAATGAAAAAAAGTCATAAACCATAAAATATTTCTGCAAAAATACTGAAACAACAACCCGCAGTATAAGGAGAGTGTACAAAAGCTGGCAGATTTTGACAGAAAGCTGAAGCCTGGAAGAATGAGCCATCAAGGAAAAATCTCCTGTTTTAATGAAGTTAACTCTACAGCAGTTGGAAGACAAAGATGGACACTTAAAATCAGAACAAGCATTTTCTCCCTTTCATGAACCATATGTGGAAGAAAGGGGAAATCCTAGACTATAAGAACTTTATTCAAATTTCTGGTTGAGCATCTTACAGCAGACTCTCAGCATCAGAATCACAAAGGGAGAAGATAGCTTCTTAGTGACGTGGCAATAATGTTAGAGATGTCAAAGTGGACTCCAGACATATCATTGTATACATCAGTTAATGACATTACAGCTCTTCTTTGTTACCCCTAGATCTAAAAGGAGGTGAAAAGTGATTGTGACACATCAAGATTCCACTGAGGAATTATTATAATCTAGCAAAGCAAAAGAAAATCTTTCCCAACACAAGATCTTACCCCATCTGAGCCTAAACATATTTTGCACTCATTGATGGGGAGACAAAATTATTAAAACAAAAACCAGGATCCAAGGAGGATTAACCAGAGTGGAATGTTTGGTGCCCCCATCCCTAACACCTACACATATATCAAAAACATATAGAAATGTTAGAATTAAAAAAAATCCTACACATAAAAAAGGAAGTGGAATTCATCCTAATTGATGTGCAAGTCCAGGACCTCTGAAAAGATGAGAAAATAGCCAAACAAAGCTTCCCTCAAAACTCAGAACACTCCAACAAAGGATCCCATTGATACAAAAGTGGATGAAATTCCAGAGAAAGATTATGAAAAACTGATTCTTAAAATGTTAGATGAGCTTAAAGAAGATTTAAGGAATGGATTAGGAGAGAAAATGCAGTAAATAAAAGACTAGTCAAATAAAGAAATAAAAATATTGAAAATCCCAACAACATTCCTCATAGCAATAGAAAAAGCAATCATGAAAATTCATTTGGAAAAATAAGAGACCCAGAATAGCCAAAACAATCCTTAACAAGAAGAGGGAAGCAGGAGGATCACTATACCAGACCTTAAACTATATTACAGAGCAATAGGAACAAAAATGGCATCGTTTTGGCAACAAAATAAACATGTGGACCAATGATACAGAATAGAGGACTCAG